GTGTGTGAATGTTCAGATTGGCCGTTCTAGTTATCATCTCCACTGGTGTACATTCGCAAAACTTCGAAACTGGCGATAATTCTACGATTGCAGGCTGCTCGTAAGATTTCCGAGTTTTTTCTTTTTTTTTGAGTTGATCGTTGCTACGTTCATTTTTTGATCATATTCGCAATTCTTCCATTTCTAAATATCGAAAGTTTATTGTTTTTAAAACATTATTTTTTATTTTTTTGTTTGTTTTTGGTTTTTTTAGATTTATTTTTGATGGTAATTTATTGTAATTTAGGAGTCATTGTTCACCATTCGATAGCAATTTAACGTGCCTGAATCAATCGCTGCACTTCTTCGAGCAACTTCTTCTCGCTCAAATGAGACATTTTGTTGCTGTACAGATCAATGTCGGTCAGTTTTTAATCATTCACTTCAAAGTGACCTTTTCGAATTGATAATCTCAGCTACGTAGCCATATTAATCATTATTTTATGCTTATTTATTTTCTGTATTATGCTTTGTTTTGTGCTCCTGCTAAGATTTCTTAAGCAGTTTGTTTATATGTATACGACTTAATGGACCGAAACATTTCTTACCATTAAATTAATTCTCTATAATTTACAAATTTTGTAATTCTCATCTTCTCCTACCTTTTTTACTCTTCCTCTTCTTTCATCCCTTGTCAATACATCCTAGTTTTTTTTATTCTATTATACAATATATTCATGTGCTCTGTTTGGTTCCAGATCAGTGGTACAGGAGACATATGAAAGATTTTTACCGCAATTACACTCAGGTAAAAGAAGATGAAGTAGCAAAACTTGCGGCAGAATTGGATCCAGATGAAATTATCGATAGAGAAACAGTAAGATTATTTTCTTCTGCTTTTAAACTTTTTTTTTTAATTTATATAATATGCCTTGTTTCTAGCGTAATTAAGATTTCGATCCAGAAAAACATCTTTTTTTTTCTTATTTTAGAGAATCCAGATGTGCGGTCGTAATTTGAAGGCCTTCCTGAAGCGATGAGATATTTTTGGGATAGTACTATATTTCATTTTTCTTCATTTTTATGCGTTTTTTGCAGCAATGCAGTGCGAAAAACGCATATTGACGAGAGGTTGTCTCTGTGTGTGTGTGTGTGTGTTTGTGTGTCTGTTTGTGTGTCTGTGTGTGCGCTGGGCCTCTCTACTGATTTTTCATCTCGAGACCGGCAAAAGCAACGGGGCTGAAACTTTGGGGACTTAATCTACATGCACGTACTGGCCCTATCCCCAAAATGGGCGGTCTTTCCCGCGTGGTACCCCCGTAAGACCCCGCCAAAGTTTTT